TATATATATATATATATATACGCGATCTCGGATAAGCAGTGTAGCGCACATTTTACCACATTCAAAATTTCAAAATCGGATTCTATGTTCGCGGCCACCGAAAAGTTTTAATCTGCATCTTTTCTAGTATTAAAACCACTCACATTCGAATGAACCATATGAATACGAATACACCAACTATGCGTGCTCAACTTACGCGATAAAATAACAGGCTGAATAAATAAGGGTGCGCCCCTATGTATTCCACGTGTATACGCATCAGCATAGTGCATGAGGACATCCAGATTTCCTTTCTCATTTTGTTTTGCTAAGCGTTGTTCGAGAAAGCTATAAATCGCATTTGATCGAGACACACGACTGGCACCGAGTTGCTTTAAATATACTTAGTGATATGTAGCTGCAATTGTGTCGATTCTTGGATATTTTCAGATCTAACGTACAATCACAAATGATATATGATCGGATATTAGAGATACTTGAAAAACTCATACTAAATCTACCGTATATATTAAAAATACACTAATGACTTATTTTAGGTTTCATCCATCGTTGTGCACGAAGACTATAGGTCTGCAAACGACATTGCGCTCGTTAAGTTGGCTGAGCCAGCGGTGCTTGGACCCAATGTGGGCCTTGTACAACTGGCTGCACTGGACAAAACCAACGTGGACGCACTGATGGGCGAAACCTGTGTGGTCAGCGGATGGGGAACAACATCCTACGGAGGTCCGATCCCTAACTTCCGCGCGCCCTTTACATTTCCTTCCTCTTCTACTTACCTTCTCACATACTTACTGCAATGTCCCTCACAAGCTCCACACCCCACGATTTACTGCACGCGTTTGAAATCAGCCCTGTTGAATCTTGGTCTATTTCACACGAATAAGAAACAGCAGGGCCAACTAAATAGCTCAGTTATTAAGTTAGTCAAAACACATAGAAAATCTGTTGAACTGAATGGGACGTAATAGAACGGAATTGAATCGGTTTAAAAAAAAAAAAATATTAGCGCTGGAAACGAGCAATATTGCAAACTATATTTAACCATTCGGCGTATGTGTTATTTTTCTATGAGAGCTAACCTAGTCTGTGTTTTTTGCTGCCGCTCACAGGTCGACAGTCAGACGTCCTGTTGGAAGCGGATGTTATAGGCATCAGCCAAGCAACCTGCAACGCACAGTACGAATACGACGGTGGTATCGATGCAGGAATGGTGTGTGCAGCCGCTCCCGGGAAGGATTCGTGCCAGGTACGCGTTGATGTTGGGATATTTAGCTCCTTGATGTTGGGTGGGCCCGACACGCCGCCATTAATAACGAGTACCGCTACAAATAAATATAATCTTCAGTAAGATGAACTAATCAAACATAAGCACACTAACAAAATTTAATATCACAATAACTATGTCCAGACCAAGCACCCTAACTAAGTAAGGCGTTGCAGGGTCAGGCAGCCGTAGCAGGAGTAAGATAATATATATATCTATATTATCTTACTATATACCTATATACTACGATTACGAATATATTATATATTATTATATATAATATACGTATATATATAATATAATATATATATATATATAGATATTCCATATACCATATATTTATCTACTCCTGGTAGCTAGTAGCTAGTGTATAATTAGTAGTAAGTACTAGTATGTTAGTAGTTAGTAAGTAAGAGTTAGTAGTAGTATAGTAGTCAGTAGTAGTAGCAGGCAATCAGGCACAGCAACACCAGGCGCAAGCAGCTAGCGAGTACGCAGTCAGCAGTAGCAGTAGGCAGTAGTAGTAGTAGCAGAGTAGTAGTAGTAGTAGTAGTAGTAGTAGTGGCAGTAGTAGTAGCAGTAGCAGCAGCAGCAGCAGCAGCAGCAGCAGCAGCAGTAGCAGTAGCAGTAGCAGTAGCAGTAGCAGTAGCAGTAGCAGTAGCAGTAGCAGTAGTAGTAGCAGTAGCAGTAGTAGTAGTTGTAGTAGTAGTAGTAGTAGTAGTAGTCTCGTAAATTGACCGTTTAAACTGTTTTAGGGTGACTCTGGTGGACCGATGGTCGTCGTAAATGACGTCGGCGTCCCAATTCTGGAGGGCGTGGTGTCGTTCGGACGAGGTTGTGCGTATCCGAACTACGCGGGAGTGTACACCAGAGTGTCTTTCTACCGAGACTGGGTGGATAGCAAAATAGGATCGAGCCCATGAATAAATAAACTACCAGATGGCCTCTGCAATCGCCAGCAACATCACTACGACTACTGCTGCGACAACGACTACGACTACCCCACAGGCTTCATAACTATTGAGAAGCGATATAACAATTACCATTTGTAATCAAGGATAGTTTGGGACCCCGCAAATTCGTTTTCGCATATGTGCTAAACTAATCCGGGGTGCTAAACTAGGCTTGGGCCGCCATTCGCATGATCCGAGCATTCCTGTGACATTTGCATGGTGTTGAAAGATGAGCTAGTATGGTGTCGGTTAATATCAGCATTTAGCAACTTGTTTCCTTGTAACGATTGTTACCTCTCCGTATACTACGTCCATGTCTTTCCTATCGGCTATCATAAGATGTCATAAGATGTCATAAGATAAGCCTTGCTTCTGAGAAAACTCGAAAAATTTGACGAGGGTCATTTAATTACCGAGGGCATAGACTACGGCCTGTTCAGATTTTTGACAAAAAATATTTTTCAAAAACGTAATGTCGAGAGAAATTAAAGCTAGTTGTATTCAGCTAAAGGTAGTTTATTCACCGATTTTCTTTAGATGCATCACTTGTATAACGTAATAGTTGCTTTTTCACCTATTAATGTAATACTGAAACAATATGGCAGTAGCAAATATTCGTGTTTCTAGGGGTAGTTAATAATTTATGTTTATCGTAAAACTAGCATCTCTATAGTTGATTAATATTAAGATGGTATAGGTATAACACATCGTATAATGAACAACGGCGTTGCAATAAAATATATAGTTCGCATAGACACTGTTTTACGGACTCTAATTATTTAACTTGAGCAACACTTAGCAGAACCGGGGTTTTGTCAGAATTCCGTCGTGTCAAATTTAACAGGGAACATGTGCGGAATCAGGACCGTAGCCTCTGGAGGGGGCAAGGGGCACTCACCCCACAGATTTTGGAGCAAAATTAAAAAATAAGCTTAACCAATAATCGTAAATAACTCTAATGCGGTTTTTGGTCACTTATCCGTGAAAGTATTGCCTCAGACCCACCCCTACTACGCTATGGACGTCGATCAAGAGCTGCGCCCGTCGCTCATCATTACACAGTTCAGAGTCATGAAATGATGCCCCCCCTCTAAGAATTTGCCTAGCCTACGGCCCTGGGAGTTGGCTGGCTGCCAACCTCTCATAAACTCGGAGAAACCCCTGGGAGCCTCACACCGCGCGTACCTTAATTAATTCACTCTCTTCCACAAACATCGGTGCATGAACGTCGCGATTATCTCTCTGGAACCTTTTTTCTTTCCAATGGTTCACAAAGACACCCGCGCACGCACGCAGACACGCACGCACACACAGACCCACACTCTCTTCTGATACTATTGCCACGTTTGCACGCTTGTAGTGCGTACGGTACCGTAGAGTTTGATACGGGTACACTATAATGCTGTACACATATGCATTATCGGTAGAACAACCAGGGGGGTTTAATCACAGACGTTTTTGCTGTTTTAATAACAAAATGACCACGAAATATATTTACTATACGAAAGTTTACACACCCTATATTGCCAAATAATTCCACGTAAACACCGTTCTCTCCAACAGACAATTCTGCCGCACGCACGCCACTTTGCACAACCTCACAAAAGATAGAGACGCTGTAATACGCCCGCGTTGGGCATTATAGGCCCCTTCAAGTTCAAGTAAAATTTATTTTTATCGGTATATAATGAACATTATTAACATAAGCTAAGAGCTTTTGCACCGATATCAAACAAAAGTAAATAGATAGTGAGTAAAACATGATAAAAACTGCGTAACTGCAGTGTTACTATCATATAATTGGCTGAATCTTTAACTACGCCATAAAGGGAACCGACTCAACCTTCTCAACTAAATTCTTTCTGGAAGTGTCGCGATCCCCAAAGTCAAGTACAACAGGATGGGTCCATCGCGCACACGGAACAAAATCGACAACAAGCTTGCAGTCAAAGAGTCATTAGAACTTCACAAGGGGAATTCAAAAACTCATTCTTTCCACGGACCATCATGGACTGGAATATCTGCACGCAGACCGTGATCGACCCCATCAGTGTCGCAGTCGCGGCCGAGGGCGCCTAATTTCACCACGCCCCATCACCTGCATCATAATACGCATATACACGGTCGACACAGACGCACGACATTGAGCATCTGCACCTGTACCCACCCCACGATTCGAGTAGCCTTCTAAACACGTTGAAGTTCTCACTCCGACGTATACATTTCGGCAAATCGTCCCATATTCTAGCTCCTTCATTCCAGCTTTTCTTACCACAAGTGGCCCTTTCAAAACGTGGGATGTGTACACGGTAATTAAAACTATATCTGGACTCGTTCTTTACATCAAGATCGAGGCGGTATACAGGCCGATCTTTAGTGAGAATTTAAAAAACTTCAATGGCTATGAGCTTCTGTCTTTGTAGTTTGAGACTGACTGATTTGTTTCTTGCTAGTAAGCTGCCATAGTCACTGCTGAAGTCATTATACACACATTTTAATGCTCTATAATTGAGCTTTTCGAGCTTTTTCTCATTTGCTTTGTCACAGAAGTGCCATATAATAGGACAAAAGTTAAAGTTTGAGCTGATAAAAGACGAATATATTATTTTCCTGCAACTAACAGGCAGATGCCGTCCGATACGTTTCAGTGCATTGATTTGCCTGGCCACCTTTTGACAAAGCTTTGAAATGTACCAAGCGTTGAATTGAGTTTAAAGTCAATGGTCACACCCAGCAATTTTACTTCATCAGTGCATTTAATATCCGTCCCGCCGACAGTGAAGGGGGGGGGGGCACCGATCATAGGTTTTCTTCCCAATCGCAATGCCCTGAAACTTGGCAGGGTTTGCCTGCATTTGATTTTTGGAAAACCAATCGATCAGCACCTCCGCCTCAGTCTCGAGGGTATGTTTCATATCTATAAAGTCTTCACTAGAGTAGGAGATGGTATTGTCATCTGCGTAGTTACATAAACTGCCATCATTCATAAAATATATCATTTATAAATATGTTAAATATCAGTGGACCTAGTATGGATCCCTGCGGTATTCCTTTTTGCAGGTATAGAAAGTCACTGCAACGATTACCCATGCGTACACATTGTTTGCGATCTGTCGTATAGCTTTGATTAAGATTTACAGCACTGTTGTCCACATTGTATGCTTTTAGCTTCTCAAAAATCAGTGCGTGGGGCAAGCAGTCATAAGCCTTCGACAGATCCATTAAGATAGCACCAACAAAATGACCCCGGTCGAGAGCCCATCTCCACTCCTCTGTCAGCGCTATTAAAGCGGATTGGCAGCTGTACCCTTTGCGATACGCCGAGAGGTATGGGTGAAAGAGTTCCCGAAAGTGGTCACTAAGTTGGTCCGCAATTGCCCTCTCAAACAGTTTTGATACTATAGGTAATATACTGATTGGTCTGTAGTTATCCTTAATCAAGGTATCATCCTTTTAAAAAAATTGGTGATACGCGTGCTTCTTTAAGAGCAGCTGGGAAAGAGCTGTCTCTTAACATTTCATTTATAATACAAGTAATAGATTCTATAATGGCTGGTTTTACCTTGTTTGGTACATTAGCAGAGAGGTTATCGAGCCCTGTTGCTTTCTTACTGTCAATTCTTGACAAGTATTTGTCTACCTGCCGGGAGCTGATAGGGTTGAAGGTAAGTTTGTGGCCCTGGTTTGCCTTTTCTCGTACCTTCCATACACTCGGATGGCTCGTAACCTCCTGTTCTGACATATTATCGGCTACACTAACAAAAAATTTATTGAAAATATTTGATACGGATGTCTGATCGGATACGACAGCATTATCCTCTAAAAGGCAGACATCCTCACCACTTGAAGCACCTTTACTCAGGAATGGTTTGATGGTAGGCCAGAAATCTCGTGATTTTGGTCCACCAGCACACCTTTCCATAAAGTATGTGTTGACGGACTCTCTCTTAAGTTTTGTAACCTTATTCCTTTGAATTCGGTAATCCCAGTTCTTTTTTTATTTACATTTTAGGAAAATACGCCAAAGTTTTTTCTTAAAGTTGATAGCTTTCCTTAATTCCCCGTTCATAAAAGGGGCAGTTTTCTCCCTTGTTTTCTTTACCTTTATGGGAATGTGCCGGTCGATGACCTCGCCAAGCATCACCCCATGGGCCCAGTAGACATCATCTATGTCATCAAACACGTGTGCCACATTGAGTGGTGCCCGCCCGACATCACTGAACAACTCACTCTCATCAAGGTGGGTCTACCGAATTTGGGTCTGAGAGCGAGGTTTAATTAGACATTTCATCACACAAGCTATAATGTGGTGACAATCACTCAGCCCAATATCACATGACATAAATTTTTTGAAAGACCTATAACGATTTGTTAGTATGACATCAACTAGAGATGGATCACAGTTTTTTGTAAAACATGTAGGTGTTTTTATCAAATTTGCCAAGTCAAAAACGTCACAAATGTCCTTCAGTGTCTGCGACTTTTTTGACATAGCATGTCGAAGTTCAGGTTGCCAATAAGCAGCAGGTTTTCATAGTGTTGCATGCTAATGTCTAGGAACATGATGATGTCCTCTGAGAAAGTTCGATTCGCCATGGTTGGCGTCTTGTAGGCGGCCATCATCAGCCACTTTTTATTGTTGATAACCAGCTCGATGTTCAACGCTTCCACTGTTTTAATTACATGATTTGTTTCACGGATCGAATGCTTCGATTCACGGATTGAATAATGCGATCAATGAATCGAATCATTCGATCCGTGAATCAAATTATTCGATCCGTAAATCAAATCATTTGATCCGTGGATCAAAATAGAGGAAGAAGGACGAGGTATACGAAGAGGGGAGAAGGTGGTACAGGAGGAAGGAGAGAAGGTAGAGAACGAGGGAGAAGGTAGTGGGGAAGGAGGAGGGGAGAAGGGGTGGAGGTAGAAGAGGTAGAGGACGAGGGAAAGGGTAGTAGAGGAGGAGGAGGGGGAGAAGAGGAGGAAATAGAAAAGGGGGACAAGAAGGAGGTAGAAAAGGGGTACAGGAAGGAGGTCGAGGAGGAGGGTAGAAGGTGGTCGAGGAGGAGGGTAGAAGGTGGTAGGGGAGGAAGGGGAGGAGGTAAAGGAGGGAGGAGGTAGAGGGGGAGAATGTGGTAGAGGGAGGAAGTCGAGGATGATGGGGGAAGGTGGAGGAGGTAGAGGAGAGAGGGAGAAGGTAGAAGAGGGAGTAGGTAGAGGATGGTGGGAGAAGACGGAGGAGGTAGAGAAGGGGGAGAAAGTGGTAAAGAAGGAGAGGGAGGAGGTAGAAGAGGGAGGAGGTAGAAGAAGGGGAGAATGTGGTGGAAGAGGACGAGAAGTGGGGAGATAGGGGAGAGAGGAGGTAGAGGAGGGGAGAGAAGGTAGTGGAGGAAAAGAGGGGGAGAAGAGGAGGAGGTAGAAAAGGGGGACAAGAAAAAGGTAGAAAAAGGGTACAGAAAGGAGGTCGAGGAGGAGAGTAAAAGGTGGTCGAGGAGGAGGGTAGAAAGTGGTGGGAGAGGAGGGGGAGGAGGGGGAGGAGGGGGAGGAGGGGAGGAGGGGGAGGAGGTTGAGGAGGGAGGAGGTAGAGGGGGTGAATGTGGTGGAGGGAAGGGGGAGTTGGGAGATAGTGGAGAGAGGAGGTAGTGGAGGGGGAGAAGGTAGAAAAGGGAGGATGTAGAGGATGGTGGGAGAAGGTGGAGAAGGTAGAAGAGATTGGGAGAATGTGGAGGAAGTAGAGGAGGGGGAGAAGCTGGTGGAGAAGAAGGGGGAGGAGGTGGTAGAAAAGGAGAATGGGAAGAAGGGGGAGGAGGTAGAGGAGGGGGAGCAGGTGGTGGAGGAGGAGGAGGGAGAGAAGGTGGCGGAGGAGGAGGGGAAGAAGGTGGTGAGGGAAGGAGGGAGGGAGAAGGCCGAGGTGGTAAGTGAGTGAGTGAGTGAGTGAGTGAGAGAGAGAGGGAGGGAGGGAGGGAGGGAAGATGGAGGGAGTGATCGAGGCGTCTTGTGCTCACCGGCCTGCCCGCAGAATGCACAATATATTGTAAGCAGGCAAATCCCACACGCCAGGGGAGTGATGGCGATGCGGGAACTCAACCTGTGTCAGGGGAAATGTACAAAACAGAGACGGGAAGGTCAACGGTCGGGCCCGAGATCAAAGTGAGCCGTGGCTCGGGACAGAGCCGGCCAGCCGGAAAGCACGTAATTCCGTAAATCGAAGCATTCGATTCTTGAATCGAATCATTCGATTCGTGAATCGAATCATTCGATTCGTGAATCGAATCATTCGATCCGTGAATCGAATCATTCAATCAGGGCCAGGGGCGCGTACAGGATTTGTACCAGGGGGGGGGGGTCTAACCCTAACCCAAACTTGCGAGCACGTGAAGGGGGGGTCTGGGGGGGTCTGGGGGGGTCTGGGGGGGTCTGGGGGGGCCCTCCCCAAATTTTTTTAGAAAATTAGACCTTTTTAGATGCGTTTTCTGCGCGAGCAGGGAGGTCCGGACCCCCTGGACCCCCTCCCCCCTGTACACGCCCCTGTCAATCCGTGAATCGAAGCATTTGATCTGTGAATCGAAGCATTCGATCCGTGAATCGAATCATTTCTGATCCGTGAATCGAATGGGTCGATTCGCAGATCGAATGATTCAATGCGCAGATCAAATGATTCGATTGCAAAACCGAATGGTTTTGATGCCAGGATCGAATGGTTTGATTCTCTTTTCTGATATAAAATCAAATAATGTGAAGGGAATTATTGTCAAGGGAATTATTGTCGATTTATTGCATATAACATATGATTAAATAATCAAATATTATATGCGATAAATCAAATGTTATATGCAATAAATCAAATGATATATGTGATAAAATCAACCATAAAACAAAAATCGAATTATGAAACAAAAAACATGCCGAAATTATTTATTGCAAAATTCACCACTAGGTAGCGCTATTGGCTATCAACATGAGAACGTTCTTTCGGTAACTTGTCGCCATCATGGGTCGTATGCACGCTCCTGGGTTAGTAACAATTATTTACAGTTATACGAGACTAATATAGGTAATGGTCACAGAGATTGTAGTGATGTGTTTTTGTTACACTCGGTGTTTTATAGAAACACCGAAATAACAGCGGTGTTCTTGATATAAGTATAATTCGTGTGATTAAATTGACTAGAGGCACAGGCAGTGACTGAGTGAGGCACTTGTAAGTTGTAAGTTGTAGTTGTAAGTTGTAGATACAATAATGTAACCCAAACCCAGAAGGATAGGGTTACAAAGCGTCCGTATGGTTTTGTGCGGAGGAACGCCTGAGTGAATCACTCAGGGCGGTTTGCTGGTGCGTTTTCAGAGACTAGAACTTCCAAACTGGGTTTATTCTAAACACGAACCTTTCTCCGCTATCCGGGAACTTACTATAGTATATATCGCAATACTCTGTATTAAACTAATATAACCTGTTACAAAAATTTGAAGTGACGAGCGGCGAATATACTGAGCGCCATTTCTGTTGACCTGTGACGTACGCATTCCCAATGCGCATAGCGATCGGCAAACGCAGCGCCCTCCGATTGGTCGTTGAATACGCTCTTCAAACCGAAGTACGTCACAGGTCAACAGAAATGGCGCTCAGTACATTCGCCGCTCGTCACTTCGAATTTTTGTAACAGGTTATATTAGTTTAATACAGAGTATTGTGATACATAGTAAGTTCCCGGATAGCGGAGAAAGGTTCGTGTTTAGAATAAACCCAGTTTGGAAGTTCTAGTCTCTGAAAACGCACCAGCAAACCGCCCTGAGTGATTCACTCGGGCGTTCCTCCGCACAAAACCATACGGACGCTTTGTAACCCTATCCTCCTGGGTTTGGGTTACATTATTGTATCTAAGGCACTTGTAGTCCAAGCCGACGCAGACCCCAGTGGCAGTAATGGGGTCTGCGGCCGCGTCTATCTCAATCACGGAAAGCCACCTCCAGTTTGGAGGTACTTATAAGTAATATATGCGCCCGATATATACAATCCTATTGCGTGGAACTTACTTTAACCTGAACTTGAATCATTTATCTACGTGCATGCACGCTATGAATAATCATGTCCTGGTAGCGGCCACAACATAAAAATATATCAAGTTGTTAACCTAATTAGTAAATATATACATCCAAAGAAAATGTTCTGCCTTCATTCACATTTGTCAACCACATTTGTCATTCACATTTGTCATCGGTATTGTATATACATGCACCGGATATGTAGGCAAAACATATAGCAGCTATGGTGCATGTATATACAATACCGGTGACGTCACGCGTTCGCACGCCAGAATATTTCAAACGGGAATGCCAGTAGTGCTGACTTTGAGTAATAAAAGGATAAATACATGGTGTAAAGTTGTGGAAAGTGTTCAAAAAGATAGGTGAGATGTCCATGTAGATAAATAAGTGTTAAAAAAGCCCGATAATTTTGCATTTTGCGATCCATTTTTCGTGGGGACATGTGGTGACAGGTTGCAGTTGCGAAATCTAGCTGACAATGTTCTATAGCCCTGCGGCAGTTAATGAACTCGGGCTATAATACTAGAGCTAGGGCTATGTATGAGTCACGATTGTATGTTTATGTCATACCCAAACTTGGAATCTGCACAATCTCGAGATTGTGCAGCGATTGTGCTGCCCAAACTGCGGATTTCCTAGTTTGGCTGACCAATCTCAAGATTGGGCAAACTGAAAACAGTCGGTGATTTAACAACCGCTCATATCGAGTGTGTGGTGTGCATGGTGCAAACTAGGAAGAGATTTATCTCATATTTATCCAATTATTTATTATAATCTTTTAATATTTATACAAAGGTACCAAAAACATTAAGGAAAGAATGTATATATGACCTTATAGTTATGATATAACATTTGAAATCCTAATAATCATATGTTTGTGCAAGCTCTGTTTACCTCTGTTTTTGGCGCAATCTCAAGATTGGTTGCACAAACTGCGGATGCGCTGAAATTCCAAGTTTGTGCAAGATTCCAAGTTTGGGCACAACATTTACATCGAACAATAGAGTAAAATAAGAAGTATAATGCAGCAATTTAACCATAAAAAGTGAACAGAATTACTTATATTTTGTGAAAAGTGAAAATATTTTTTTCATTTATTATTTGCGATGTCGTAATCACTTATCACGCATGGGATTTTGTTAGTGTCTTCCATACTGACTGAGTGATACCTACCGACATTCGCTTCCTTGCCCAAAATTGAATTGTAAAATAGCTACCTTATATACTGCAGCGTTGATTTGTCAAATTAATCAACATTAGAATGTCTACTTCGTTAATGTACCTTGAACTATGAATAATGCTATGAAGTTATGAGCTAGGCACCACATGATTTTGTGGTGTACGTTATTTTTGTCCAACACTATGGCAATATGGTTCGAGCCGACGCAGACCCCAGTAATGGGGTCTGTGGCCTTGTTTATCTTGATCACGGAAAGCCACCTCCAGTTTGGAGGTGGCACTTATAACTTATAAGTAATATATGCGCTCGATATATACAATCCTATTGCGTGGAACTTACTTTAATCGGAACTTGAATCGTTTATCTACGTGCATGCACGCTATGATGTCCTGGTAGCGGCCACAACAAGAATATATCAAGTTGTTTATCTAATGGCAAATATAAACATCCAAACAAAATGGTCTGTCACATAATTCACATTTGTCAACCAATGGAAATCACTTCCGGTTACTTCGGCTATTCCCGATGTTCAACAGGAAACATGGTAGTTTGCGGTTTTTCCTCAGCAATATCGCCATAGAGTTGTTTTATCTTGTCAGCATTCATCGTGTACAGAGATGTCAGCCTTAAGCTGACAGAGATGTCAGCCTTAAGCTGACAGAGATGTCAGCCTTAATTATTTCTGAGTGAAACCGAAACTACCGGAAGTGAATTTCATTGGCCGATCGAAAAATCGGTCCAATATGGCCAAAAATATCAAAGTTACTCTTACTAAGATGAATTATTGCATGAAAACAAAGTTCTGAAACGGAGATAAAGTCTTCGGAAAGCGATATTGACAAACAGAAGGTCTGTACTTGATATTTTGGGTCGGATATACCCCCGTCACGCCCTCAGTGCTACTCGATTCACCGATCCAATCCCCACAACAAAAATTGCAACAATTTTTACAAGGGTGACTGCAGACCTTAAACCCGCACCCTCAGATTAGTAAAGCGGAGTTATAACGTCTGCGTGCGGACAAAAGGCAATAGTGCTCGATCCTAGTTTGCGACCCTGGCCTAGTACCCCCAGTGCTGTGTAGGTTAGTTTTGAAATGACCAATGGATTGCTTACTGTACGTTTTACCTATATGTTATGGTTATTTACCATAGTCATGTTGTTTCTTTGCAGAAAGGGTATATCCCAGTCGGCTCTACCATATAGAAGATCCGTGCCTACGGTAAGGTATTCGTAGCTTGAAAATTTCGGTATCTTTCTGTGAACTCAATAATTTCTTTTTAATAGTTATTTATAATAATGATTGATAAAAAAAGTGGCATGATGCTTTTTTTGCTGGAAAAGTGTATTGTCCAACACTATAGCATTAAAGGGCTACTATACCCTAGACTTTTAGAGGATATTATGATAATAAGTACGTAAATAATAGTATATACCTAAACATTTCTGTAATCAAGCATTGACATTTGTCATAAAACAATTTTGAGTTTCAAAATCTTTATGTTTGACCACTGACCTGACACCGTGAAATTATGCTGTCAGCATGAAAAAGTTGCGCATTTTCCGATTTATTTTGCACATTACACTCTGAGGGCTAATCACAATTTAAGTGCAATTATAACTAACTGCTATTTCACTGAACGATTTTTATTGTAGGACAAATTCGTCCATATTATAACTGAAACTAAAGAGTTGTTTATAAGATATTGCAATCCTTCTCCTCGTAAAGTAATAGATAAGAAACACCCTCGGTCTGTAGCCTGCAGCCGAAACGTTGCGTTGCGCCACTGTCAATGGTTGCGTTGGAAGTGGTGCCACCGTCTGGTCAAAAACGTAAAAAAACAATTTTTAATGAATATTAAACAAATTATTTATGTAGCATAATTTAAAGCCAGTATTACGAGAGTTTTGCTCAGAAACCCTCGACCAAAAAAAAATTAGCAAAATATAGTCTCACCTCATGGCGGATATATCACTGATTACACCAGCATTAAAAACACTAAGATTTTATGCAGTTATAGGCTTATAGCATAGAAAATTGGATGATCACATCGTAACAGCAATGTATTTTATCGTGTCGCGATAATGGCAGAATTGGTAGACTTGTAAATTGTCGGTTATAAATTGAAAACAACTGCATTTGAGAGAGACTATGTCTATGGCAGATAGGCACTGGTGCTACTAGGCTACTAGCTAGTCCAAAACTACTGGCTCTAGTTTTAAGATTACAGCAAATGATTGTTTACAAAACTAGTTTAAAAATTGCATGTTTTGGTGAATATGAAGGTTTTATGACATTTCATTGTTACTCTAGACAATTGCTGTTACGCAAGCAATAACGGTAGGTATCATTAGTGGTGAAAACACTGGAAAACTCTCGTAATGATTACTTTAAATATTTTAACTGAAAATATGCTAGGAACATGTGTCCCTCTTAACACTTTCCCCGCGGATCCACGAGTCAGCTCGTAGATAGATTATTGGTTTTTGTTTCTCTGATTTCCAACAGATGGCAGGCACTACCTACATAGAAATTAAACAGGGACAGTCTATATTACTGCAGTCTTACATGAACTAACGAATACAATGCTTTACCGTTGATTCGAACGTGAAATTAGGAGTTTTGAGACTCAAGGTAAATTCGCGAGGTATTTTTGCATGTAGAAATACAAAACAAGGTTCATACCCCACACATGTGTAAGCAGACCTGCCAACTGTTACGTATTACCCGTGATTTGTTACGGACGCGAGTCAAAATTACGGTGTTACGGACGACCTCGAAAAATTACGGACAGCAAGAAATCTCTGAAATTTATATTTTTTAATGCAAAAAAAAGAAATAAACACAGTGTAAAATCAACTATTATCATGTAACATGACTACTGTGTCTGTAGATTTAGACTAATAGCTCTTAAAACGTAACGGTACTCACTGAAAATGGTAAATTATGCTGTGTTATGCGCTCGTCTGTCTGGTTTATGGGCGCAGCCATTTTGAATGACGTCACGGATCCAGGAATAGTAGTACCGCACTGAAGGCTATTTTCAGCCAATCACCGTGAGAGATAAATTGGAACTGCCAAATGACATCTTTATGCTAATTATGTTATTATTATACTGTAATAAGACTGACAAAAAGGTGTTACTGACAAATGCCTATTTGTTACGGAAAAATCCAATAATTATTACTGATGATCATCAGATGGGGTTGGCAGGTCTGTGTAAGCGTTGCCATATTTCTTACTGGAAAGAATAGTATACTGTCGAATGATATCGTAACAAACTCGAGAATCTATTGGTGTGGTGGCATTTGAGACGAAAATGCACGAAATGTCCGTTTTTGCCCTGTTTTCATATCAATATTATTATGAAGGGGAACGATTTCCATAATATTTGAATGTGTACGGGTGAGATAACATTCATACAGAGTAAATGTGTCAGTTTGGTTAGCTTTCCTGCAAAGGAAATGTGGTAAATCAATAAGTGAATACGCGGTAAAAACGGTACGATGAATACGCGGTAACGAAAATCCCAGCGCAGGGAGGTAGGTGCATTGTTAACACCGGCAGCGTTGAATGTGTTAACTGCTTTAACTTGTGTTTCTGTAGAGGCCAGTTGACCAGTTCCAATAAACCGACTTAATCTCTAGAATCGATAGCATGTTTACTAAGTTCAGGTATTTCTTTCTGTAAATTATCTTACAGTTGGAAAATATGCCATTGGATTCAAACATGGTTATAGTGTCAGTGTAGCACGAGAATTCAAGTTAATATCATATGGCTCGGTTACCTATTGTCAGTCAATCTAGCATGTGTCATTTAGGTCTGATTTTTTCAGTGGCTTAAACTAACCCCAGAGGATGTTAGAGAGCAGATATACAAACTTGCTAAGAAGGGATTAAGACCCTCACAGATTGGTGAGTCATAAAATCGTCAAAAAAGAGTTTGCTGGTGTGTTGTATCAAGTACAATTTCTCGATTAGTGTGAGTCATCCATTGCATGCGTTGATGTTTCAACGTCAACTGAATATGCCACGACTTTAACTGTCCAACCGTGGCTGCTTGATATTTTCCCCATAGGCTGAAATTATCTTTACCGTGTAACAGGTGTGATCCTTAGGGACTCGCATGGCGTTGCGCAAGTGAGATGGGTCACCGGAAACAAGATTCTACGAGTTCTCAAGACGAAGGGTCTTTCGCCCAACATCCCCGATGACCTTTACCACATGATCAAGAGGGCCGTGGCCATGAGGAAGCATCTGGAAAGAAACAGAAAGGTATTTCAGGGCTCCCTCTGGATGTTTTAAACTTAGAGTCAAGCTGCCAGTTATTTATTAGCCACCAATGAAAAACTACAGCCAATGTTAACTTTATCGTATTTGCTAAGCAAGGCATAAACAGGTGATGGGTCCGGGGAAAAAATATGTATGAAAACTTTTTAATAAAGTAGTCAAATAAAAATGTAATAATGTAGTTTAGTCTAGACAAAACTAGGTTGTTGCACTGTTGCACGGTAGTTGCCCCAAAGGACTAACCGTCTAGGTTACATAATTTTGCGAAGGTGGTGAACGCCAGCGGTAGCCCTGTATTTGAAACATGCCGTCGAAAACTTTCGTCGGGAACTGCTACGCTTTCTTGGCCTGCTAGATTCAATTGTGCCGTGGATGCTGAATGCGGCGGTGGTTTGTTAAAACTGCCGCGCTCGCGAGCAGTGTTATTATGGACACATGGCTGCCACCGTGTCGTGGGTCCTCAGAAACAACTGCAACATAAACCTCGGCGAACCCATTCGGGGCAGCTGCAGTGTGCAGTGTCTTTCCGAAGAAACGTCCGAAACACCATCGCGCGCGTGGCCTTGCCTGACTGACAGTTTCACACGTGTTTGTCTCTCTGCGGTTACAGGACAGGGATGCAAAGTTCCGTCTGATTCTTGTAGAGAGCCGTATCCACCGCCTCGCAAGATACTACAAGAGGAAGCGGGTTCTTCCCCCAAACTGGAAGTAGTAAGTTCTTAGTTGTGGCTCTTTACTAGACTGGTAGATGCAAAAGGCGGCGTGTGATACGACCGCACATTCTCGTTGACATCTTGTTATAGCCGACACTTAGTGTGAACGGTGACAGGCATCTGATCTGTGTTGCGAAACACGTCCCTTCACTTGCTTACCGCAGCGCCCGTGGCCTCTTCCCACTACCTGCACAGATATGAAGGGAAAATTGATTCGGGTCGCTGTATTGGAGTCATGTTGTTCACTGCATGATTTCCTTTTCTGTGTACCCAACAGCCGTCGTTTCGAAATCTAACGGCTTTAGATGAATCGAGTGCTGACGACTGTATTTCACAGTGATCGGCAACGCACAACCTATAGCTGTGTGTGTTGACAATTTCCAGCCGTCAAATTTGTCATGTGTGCGATGGTGACCCAACCTGTCTCGCGTTTTTGCGCCTTGCGCAAGTGCCGTAGCCTTACAAACTTGCTTTCTTCTGCTTACAGTGAATCCGACACAGCCTCCGCCATGGTCGCATAAATGAAGCACATGCAAATACGGTCAGCAAGGGGATTGATTCTATATCTGTATGAGGAGTGATGTACATTAATAAATGACATGGAGAGAATCCAATATTCTTTTTGTTTGAGTCGATGTTGAGATTATTTCGTTTATCACGGCGTGACACCTCAATAAAACAAGGTCTCAAATTAATCCGAATCAAAATAATCTGTAGTACACATTTATTAGATGATATATTACGAATTACACCAGGTTAAAAATTACAGAGAATTTCGACTTTTATTGGCTATAAAAGGAAAATTGAGCAGGAGTATTCAACAACAGTTATTTAAGAAAAATAGAAATGAATTTGAGTTCAAACATGTAGCAGCAAGCATTAAGGCACCCGCTTGTTTGTAATATGAAATTGCTCATGAATTGGTGGTACATGAACCCACCTTGTTGGTAAATGTTATCTATTTGCTGTTATCACTGTAACTGTACAATCATCTGAGTCTATGGATTGTAGTTAAGATTTCTTTATGATTTTCTCCGGTAGAAGGCGTTGCTGTTGATTTCAATTAAAAAAGCAGGGCTTTTCTTAGAACAAAAGACAGCAAGGTTTCTGGTGTCGCGGGAGTAATCGGCGTTTTGTTGCGACATGTGGAGAATGTAAAGGTAAATATGATTAAGGTGTATCGTCTATAGATGATCGCTAGTGTAATGTTATCTAGCCGTGTAATAGCTTAATTATGTACTTTGTATGTTCAGAGACGCCGGTTTCTATGGCTATGATTAGAAATAGGTTAATCATTACTGGTTTGAAGCGAGAGTAGTAGCATAGAAAGCCGCTGAGATCAATAATGAATATGTTAACCAAGATTGTGGAAGAATGGTTTTTATGATGTGTTAGATTAGTAGCTTGTGGTAATTCGAAGTCAGAAATCCTGTGGTGTATTGATATGTATGTATGCATGTAGCATTGTAATCGGCTGATATTGTAAATTACATTTTGTGTATTTCACATTTGTTGTTCAGGTTGTAAGGCTGTTCTGTTCACGGAGCTGGTGTTTAAGAGATCCGGCGAAACAGTAAGTTAGCATCTACTATGATTCAGGCATAATAAGCAATTTGCATAATTTCGATAGGGGTCATTTTACTCATTTATGGTGTTTATGAATATTAGAATTGTTAGCACGCTCATATATTAAACACATGTACGTATTTGGTTTTTGCAGAATTGAATGCTAGCTACCGTTGATACGATTGGTACGTTAATAAAGCATCTCAATCAAAGTCGGATTCTCTTGGTGTATTCGTCGACTTGTAGTCAAGTCTCATCTTTCCGCACAATTCAATTTGTTGGTCGGAACGGGGAAATAGCGGGAAACTACAACATGGAGCAGGCGCAGAGGTTGAGACGCGGAGTGCGCAGGGAGCTGTGTAGGAGGGTCTCGGATATGGAGACAGCGATTCAGGAGATCCGCAGCTGCAGGCTGTGCGCACTGAGTCAAGATTTGGTAGTAATGTGGTTGTTAGCCAGGCCTGGATCAGCAAGGTCATAGATAGAGAAAGTGTAAGCATAACTAACTTGAGCGGATACGCTGCCGACTTGGAGAACTGTCTGCAATCACTGGAAGCTTTAGGCTATTTGAATGAGCTCGATAACCGGGCCAGTCTGAGGCAGATTGTGTCTAAGTTGCCTAAGTTTCTTCAAAATAGATGGAGAACAGAAAATCAAAGGATTAAAGAAAGTGATGGCGAGTCTTCAGCAAATCTGGCAGCCGAAGCATCAGTGCATGTTGCTAGGGAAGATTTCGGGCGAGTTGCCAGACTGGCTGATTTAGTTAGATTCATCAAGCGGGTTGCTGATGAGGTTGAAGATCCAGTCTTTGGAGATGAGAGAGCGAGGTTAAGTAAACCGTCTGAGAGAATGAGACCTAGTAGGCAATATGATAAGATGCTTGTAAACCAGCTGCGTTCACACAAGGTGTATCCAGCGCCTCCAAGTGTTGGGTTTGCAAGAACAATCAGCACTGGACGGACCAGTGCAGCACTGTTCGATGGAATCCTCGCCGCCTGAAAGGAGGAAGATGTGCTATGACAACTATGCTGTTACTCTTGTCTAAAGGTAGCTGGGCGAGGGCACAGGGAGTCCACCTGCTCTAAGAGGAAGGCTTGTGGTGAAACAACAGATAACGGGGCATGTAAGGAATTCCACCACAAGCTCCTGCACGGGAGGAAGGAGGTTGGACAAATAGGGAATCTCAACATGGCGAAGAATAAGGATCCTATGTTGAGCATCTTGGATGTTGAGGTGTTTAAACGGAAAGGTTAGAAAGGAAGGTGTCCCAA